CCTCACTGGGTGCCCCATACTTTCGCCACATCTGAGCTATGCTTGGAAAATCACTGTAGGAGGACCGATATTATATAACAGTTCAGTAAGGTATGGTTGTATACTGCAAATGTATTCATCACTGTCTGCAATGATTAGTAGTCATTACAACTGGCTCACAATAACGGAAATTACTTATGACTCAACCTAATGTGTACAAATTATAGATTTGACTTTATCGTGTTGTTGTTTTGCTTCGTCATTAGATGAAGCATATGCATTATTATTATTATTATTTTATTACTAGTTTTACCCGACGCCGGAAGTAGGCTGGAGTTTATAAAAATCGCACCGTTCTGACTATATCATTATCTTAGTCATTCGTGGTCGAAGATAACCATATGCTTCATTTGAAGTCATGTTATGCTCTTGAGCCACAGGAAGAATCAGGCAAACTGTCAGCCCCCACCCCTCCTTCTCTCTCTGTCTCTGTCTGTCTGTCTCTCTCTCTCTCTCTCTATCTATCTATCTATTGAGCTTGTGCATAATTATCAGGCGTTTTGTAGGCGTTATTTGTTAATAAAAATTGCTGTTTTGTTTACTTTTTTTAATAAAAATATTATTTTATTTTCAGGTTATAAAAAATGTGTGTCGATAATCATACGCTCCGGAATAATCATTTAAAAATGTTATTGTTGAATTGTCATGTCTCTTTTTTCATAATAAATATTGTTTAAATAAAAAAAAAAGCCTGTTAATTATGCACCAACCCAATAATTGTTATCGACTGGAAAGTGATATGGGTGTGTCGATTTCAATTCCCCGTCGATTCTGTTTCGTTCCTGTTGTTCTATCGGATATCATTCTGATATACGGATCAGCAGTAAAAAGAAAAAAAAATTATGAATTAATAATAAATATTGTTTAAAAAACGCCTGATAATTATGCACCAACCCTAGGGTCTCTGTCCGTCTGGATCCAGGGGTAGATCATCGTCAGTATCTGTTGAGTCAGATCGGAATACATTGCATGACTGGGTCATTCTCCGTGTAACGATGTTTACGGCTTACGCTTCATAACCTACACGTTTTGTATAAAATTAATAGGCTACTGACATATTCTTGTCTAGTTTAGTCATTTTAGACTGACACGCGCTAGAACAATTACGACTGAATAGTGAGTTAGATCCTCACTGGGTGCCCCATACTTTCGGCCTTGTGCCACATCTGAGCTACGCTTGGAAAATCACTATAGGAGGACCGATTGGGAACCTCGAGGTGATTTTAGTTGAAAGTCCTTAAGTAATGTCGTCTCTGGTATTTCAGCAGGACCAGTCCACAACGTGGGATGGTTCTTGCTAATACCTACAGGAATCATTTGTTCAAACCTTTTCTTAACCATTAAACCAAGCGGTTGTACACAGCGAGTAGTTCATATATTTCTGAACGAGGTTAGTGCAATGCATTACATCTGTGTGAAAGACTCAATCTGACATGGCTGTTTCAGAAAATGAGTAGAGTATTTAAGTCAATATTTTTGTAGCAAGCGGGTATATTCTGGCCTAAATGTATATTCAACCAGGGCCAATTCATACCCGTGGTGTAAACTGTCATAGCATATGACCCGGGTATAAAAGAACTTATCTTAGTATAAGCTCGGGTATACTCTAGAACAGCGGTCGGCATCGTGTTATAATGTGACGGGTCGCGGGCCGGACGAAGGCCATTAATGAAAAATTAATGAAAGTTACATATGCAGACCCCTCTCAACATAAATATTTAAAACCATAATGAAAATAAACATTGAGAAATCAGAAAAACAAAAGAAAATCTAAAATAAAAAAAAACACCTAACAAAAATTACTTTTCCTCAAGGAACCTCAAAATACTTCAAAGTGAAAAAAATCAACCGAAGTGAAATGGATGAAATTATGACGTGTAGGTTTGAAACTGTTATTGAAAATTGTTCCCCAAACGAACCACACACACACATCAAACAAAAACGAAGCACATATACCCATACATACGAGTACAAATAGTTGCAAACATATACACTTACGTACATACACAATGCGGTATCATCCACACATTCATAAGGCATGTATGTATAATTCGCGTATGTTTAACTCTCTTTAGATTTCTGCTACCTCCCTGGCCTCTTTCACTTTAACGTTCCTTTCGCTTCTGTTATCTTTTAATGTAACCAAGGGTCATAACAAATATGTATCCATTATTTGTCATTAAACGTAGGCAACGAAGTTTGGTAAAATAAGTCTCATGAAAAATAACTGACAGATAGTCTAATTCGAAAGCCTCGTCTCTCATGTTAAAAATAGTCATTGGTAATCAGGCTCGCGGGTCGGATCCGGCCAGCGGGCCGTAGGTTGCCGACCCTTGCTCTAGGCCATAAACTGGTTTGGTAACAAAAACAAGGAATGAGAAGTGCATAAAAGCTGAAGTGATAACCTTTCTAATTCTTGCTGTTGTTGAAAGTCCGCAAGTTAAGCTGTTTCTGTTATTTGATACAGTTATTTGTCTTTCGGCAGGGCCAGTCCACAATGTAGGATGGTTCTTGCTAATACCTACAGGATTCATTTGTTCAAACCTTTTCTTAACCATCAAACCAAGCGGTTGTAAACAGCTGGCAGTTTAGATATTTCTGAACGAGGTTAGTGCAATGCATTACATCTGTGTGAAAGACTCAATCTGACAAGGCTGTTTCAGAAAATGAGTTGATTTTTTAGTTAATGTTTTTGTAGCATTAATTCATATAATATCCTACAATTTCTGAAAGAAATCAAACTGTATTTCAAATTATAACTGCAACAAAACTACAGCATCAAACACACATATCACCGCATATAGTAATTATATCCACACAAATATGTATTTGCACAAAAGCTCAGTATTATCTACCATTTATTCAATTGTGAAAGCAGAATAACATAGATCATATTTTTATTATTTCAAAGTTCCCTCGAAATAGCAAAAATGGATGACATAATATTATTTCTTAAAAGAGTGGACAGGTAACAAAAAATATAAACCAAATAAGAATGTCAATAAAACCGACTTCTCTACATATTGTATATCTGAAAAGAATACATGAATGTAACCAGACACTAAACAAAGCCCTATTTTAAAAAAATAGATCAATAAAACTGATTTTTTTTTACAAAGAAATGTATACTTTGTAGTTATACAAATCTATTTATACAAATCTCTTCTAAAAATCTTATCACACACACACACACACACACACACACACACACACATATATATATATATATATATATATATATATATATATATATATATATATATATATACATATATATAATTGTTTTTTTTTTTTTAATAACTTAAAATTCAAAGTTCCATTTCATTATCAAGTGAAATATGGAGAAGTAGGTCTCTATTGAAATGTGAGTGAGACAGAATATATCACAACCTCTCCGGAACCATCTGAGTTAAAGTCATTCAATAATACCTCCATCAAAAGAGTTGAGGACTTCAAATATCTTGAATCTCACCTAATAGATTCCCAAAAAGACTTCAACATCCGCAAAGCTGTCGCGTGGAATGCGTGTAAGAAACTTCACAAGATTTGGCGCACGAACCTTCTATCCTCCTTAAAAGTTCAAACCTTTCGAACGTTCATTGAACCAGTCCTACTGTATGGATCAGAAACTTGAACATTATCTGCTCGTCTTGAAAGACGAATGGATGGAACATATACAAATCTACTTAGAAAAATCCAGAACATCAGTTGAGGATCCTATGCAACGCTTAACACACTTTACGGAGAATTGAGAGAAATCTTTCTTAAGCTCAAACAAAAACGATTACAGTTTGCCGGCCATTGCCACCGAGCAGACAGAGAAGTCGTCTCATCTTTACTCCTATGGCATCCTTCTGGAAGTATCTTCTCACGAATATTAACTTTCACAGAAACCATAACTTGGTACTTAGAGTTGGATATTGGGGATCTGGGGACAGCCGTGCATGACCGAACAGTGTGGAAAGGGATTGTCATTTGGAATTCCAAACAACCATAGGGAAGTCGAAGGATGATGATGATTTGCCAGCAATACGGTTTCAAAAACCTAATTTATGTTTTTGAGGTTGTCCCACCAATAATAAATGCAGACAGAACATCTAGCTCTCTTAACATCCGCCTGCAGTATAGGTTAAATAAATGATGTTTCACAGTATTCCAAAAATACTGGTTAAATTTTTATATGTAATATTTATGTTACTTTATATGATAATCAGAAAGTGCCAGGCGAAATTCCTAGGACATATAATGAGGAAGGAAGGCTTGGAAAATTTGACACTCACAGGACATATTGAAGACGATAGGGACAGAGGAGACAGCGAATAACTTTCCTAACGAGCTTGTGTAAATGTTTAGCAGAACAGGGATATGGGGAGACAGCAAAATGAGAAAATTTATTAAGCGCCACAAAGGACAGAAAGTTGTGGAGAGTCACGATCATCTACATTCTGAATGGACACAGCATATATATATATAAAAAAACGAGCTCGTGTAAACGCTTAGTAGAACAACAATTTTGAAGAGAAAGTAAAAAGAGAAAACATACTGATCGCCACAAAGAACGGGAACTTGTGGAGAGCCATAATCGCCCACGTCCTGAAGAGATACGGCACATAGCAGAAGAAGAACAAGCTTGTGTAAATGCTTAGCAGAACCGGGATTAGGAGAAATAGCAAAAAGGGAAAACTTACTAAGCGCCACGAAGGATAGGAAATTGTGGAGAGCCATGATCGTCCAATTCCTTGAAGAGACACAGAACATAGGAAAAAAAGAAAGAGTTTGTGTAAATGGTCGACAGAACAGGAATTAGGAGAGGTAACATAAAGAGAGATAGCATAAAGAGAGAACTTACTAAGATCTTCAAAGTACAGGAAGTTGTGGAGAGCTATGACCGCACACGTCCTCTAGGGACACGGTATATGGAAGAAGCAGAATATTTATGACGTAGACTTACCTCCTTTGTATTAGCAATCATTCAACGTAAATGTCCGTATCACATGGCCTTTGTCAATCAAATGCTCCTCGCAGCGTGTTTTACGTTCGTGTTTAACAAAAGGGTAGAATTTTTCAAGTTTTTCGCATGGAACTTGGCGAGACCAACGGTTGGGTTGTTCGTATCGATGGGAATAAGTGTTCGTTTGGCACTCTGCAATATCATACTTCTTTTTTAGGAAAGCCTCTGTGTTGATTGGAGCCTTCAGTAGTGCGCCTTCAAAAGGGCGAAACTGCAGCGGAAACACGATTGCCTTTTCGTATGACATACCCCTTTGAAGTCGTGTGTAGTCGTATAGGTGAGTGGAAGAGACTTCCCAGAAAAAGATGTCAATGTAGGGCCATCGGAACTCTTTATCCCCGATGGAAGTGGAAAGGTTCCGGTGGAAGAACTTCCATTGGAAATTCTTTGGGGTAAACACTTGAAAGCCGGGAAGTTTCGCGCCCTCTTTCGCTAATAAATGCTTCTGGGAGCTGTTCACAAACACGTCAACGTCGTCGTCCCATGGTATGAACCCGTGATGGCGATAGGAGCCGATTAAGGAGCCGTCGTATAAGAAAAAGTTTATGTTATTCATATTACAAACGTCAACAAATTTTTGCAGAACATACAGAAAAAATATTTTATCTGTCTGGCTAATAGCGGGTCTGAAGATTATATGCAGAGGAAATTTATTGGCGGGCCCATTTGAACTAACCGGATACATTTTTCCGATATCGTACGTGTTAATTTTCACAGTTAGATTTTCCTGAAGCTTATTAAAAACGGTGTTTCTCGGCCGATTGTTAAAATCTTCCTCGACAACAACTTTGCCGTTTAAAGTTATTCGGAACTTCGGGGCACGTGATGTCGCTTGTTGCCCAACATTCTGAGATATTAGACGCGTGGACAAATCTTTGAAATAATTATCTTTCCAGATGTGAGTCATGAAGAGTAAAAAAAGAACAACCAGGATCAGAATAAATGCCAATAATTTTTTCATTGTCTCCAGCATCTTTGTTGAATTATTTTCACAGAATATAAAAACAATAAGATAAAAATAAGAACGAAAAGACAGGCAAAAAAACAACAAAAAAAAGCCCCCAAAGCAAACAATACCTTTCCTGCGTGGTTTACTTTGTTTCGTAATGAAAAACGGTATTTGGGAACACCCTCTCTTCCGCGTGTAAATTAGAATCGCCTCGATACATGGGAGGTAAATTTAGTTTCGCTTTCTAGCTGGCGATTTGATGAAATGGACATGTCCAAATATTGGCGATCGATTTTTTTTTTTTTTTTTGCTGATTTTGTTTTTTTTTCCTTGCGATAATCTTATATTGAGAGATTGAAATTAAAAACAGGAAAACTAAAGGCTTTTTCGATCGAAACTTTGGGGTATCAATATCACAAACGCAAAAATGGAGTTCAGCTGTTAGGAACAAATTGTAATTGATGATAACTGATTAGTAACGTATAAAACTTAGTATATATATATACATATACATTTTTTCCTGTTCATTATGATTCTACGAATCAGGTGAATATAATATATTTTTGTGTAATTACAGTAGATATGTTTACTTATATATATATATATATATATATATATATATATATATATATATATATATATATATATATATATATATATATTATGTGTGTGTGTACATATATATATATATATATGTATGTATAAGAAGAATATTTATGACGTCGACTTACCTTCTTTGCATTAGCAATCATTCAACGTAAATGTCCGTATCAAATGGCCTTTGTCAATCAAGTGCTCCTCGCAGCATGTTTTACGTTCGTGTTTAACAAAAGGGTAGAATTTTTCAAGTTTTTCGCATGGAACTTTGCGAAACCAACGGTTGAATTGTTCGTATCGATGGGAATAAGTGTTCGTTTGGCACTCTGCAATATCATACTTCTTTTTTAGGAAAGCCTCTGTGTTGATTGGAGCCTTCAGTAGTGCTCCTTCAAAAGGGCGAAACTGCAGCGGAAACACGATTGCCTTTTCGTATGACTTACCCCTTTGAAGTCGTGTGTCGTCGTATAGGTGAGTGGAAGAGACTTCCCAGAAAAAGATGTCAATGTAGGGCCATCGGAACTCTTTATCCTTGATGGAAGTGGAAAGGTTCCGGTGGAAGAACTTCCATTGGAAATTCTTTGGGGTAAACACTTGAAAGCCAGGAACTTTCGCGCCCTCTTTCGCTAATAAATGCTTCTGGGAGCTGTTCACAAACACGTCAACGTCGTCGTCCCACGGTATGAATCCGTGATGGCGATAAGAGCCGATTAAGGAGCCGTCGTATAAGAAAAAGTTTATGTTATTCGTATTACAAACGTCAACAAATTTTTGCAGAACATACAGAAACAATATTTTATCTGTCTGGCTAATAGCGGGTCTGAAGATTATATGCAGAGGGAATTTATTGGCGGGCCCATTTGAACTAACCGGATACATTTTTCCGATATCGTACGTGTTAATTTTCACAGTTAGATTTTCCTGAAGCTTATTAAAAACGGTGTTTCTCGGCCGATTGTTAAAATCTTCCTCGACAACAACTTTGCCGTTTAAAGTTATTCGGAACTTCGGGGCACGTGATGTCGCTTGTTGCCCAACATTCTGAGATATTAGACGCGTGGACAAATCTTTGAAATAATTATCTTTCCAGATGTGAGTCATGAAGAGTAAAAAAAGAACAACCAGGATCAGAATAAATGCCAATAATTTTTTCATTGTCTCCAGCATCTTTGTTGAATTATTTTCACAGAATATAAAAACAATAAGATAAAAATAAGAACGAAAAGACAGGGGAAAAAAAAACAACAAAAAAAAAGCCCCCAAAACAAACAATACCTTTCCTGTGTGGTTTACTTTGTTTGGTAATGAAAAACGGTATTTGGGAACTCCCTCTCTTCCGCGTGTAAATTAGAATCGCCTCGATACATGGGAGGCAAATTTAGTTTCGCTTTCTAGCTGGCGATTTGATGAAATGGACATGTTCAAATATTGGCGATCGATTTTTTTTTTTGCTGATTTGGTTTTTTTTTTCCTTGCGATAATCATATATTGAGAGATTGAAATTAAAAACAGGAAAACTAAAGGCTTTTTCGATCGAAATTTTGGGGTATCACAATCACAAATGCAAACATGGAGTTCAGCTGTAAGGAACAAATTGTAAGTGATGATAACTGATTAGTAATGTATAAAACTTGGTATATATATATATATATATATATATATATATACATTTTTTTTCCTGTTCATTATTATTCTACGAATCACGTGAATATATATATAATTTTAGATATAATTTTATTTATATATATATATATATATATATATATATATATATATATATATATATATATATATATATATATATATATATGTGTGTGTGTATATGTATATATATATATATATATATATATATATATATATATATATATATATATATATATATATTTAAAGAGTGACAGATGAACAGGTAAACTGGTAGACGGAAAGATGTTTAATAATATTAAATATTTAATAATATTTATTTAAATAATATGCTTTACGTATCTTTCTCTCTCTCTCTCTCTCTCTCTATCTATCTATCTATCTATGTGTGTGTGTAATGGGAGAGAGAAAGAGAGTGTGAGAGATAAATAGATATTTGTTTTGGTGCAAAATAATCTGAGGAAAATACGAATCTTGAATATAAATTATTTTTTGTATTTATTTACATATTTTCATATATATATATATATATATATATATATATATATATATATATATATATATATATATATATATATGTATATGTGTATATAGATAGATACACAAAGATAGATTGATACATAGATAGATATTTGATTTTTTGTGCAATATGATCTAAAGAAAATATGTATCTTGAATATAAATTATTTTTGTCATTTCTTTGTTTTTATATATATATATATATATATATATATATATATATATATATTTACATGTAGATTTATATATTTTATATATATATATATATATATATATATATATTTACATGTAGATATATATAGATAAATATACAAAGATAGACAGATTGATAAATAGATGGATAGATAGGTAGATAGACAACAAGGCGATCCTATCGACTTGATAGATTATGACCAGAATTAGGTATTTGATTTTTGTTTAATGTGATCTTCAAAAACTGTATGAAATGTGAATATAAATTATTTTTGTAAAGTACCATCTACATAGATAAATATATCATCCAAATATAAATATTGTCATGGTAACGGCACTTCCTTAAATTTTTCCATTGCACACGTAAGATAAAATAGCAAAATATTAACAGTTAAAGGCAACTTTTAAACATTTGACTGGTTTTAAGCTATTTCATTATTACTCATTTTGTATATATCAGTGTCTCTGTACGTGTATGCAAATTGTATCTACACATTTTTCTTTCTACGCATAATTTTCATTGAAATTGCGGAATAAAGGTTAATACATGCATACATATATATATATATATATATATATATATATATATATATATATATATATATATATATATATATAGAAGCCACGTATACTTTCTTATATATATATAGAAAAAGTTTCAAATTGAAAATTATAATGTTTTATTTTATGAAAGTATTTCATATTATTATATAAATAAATAAATACTTTCATAAAATAAAACATTATAATTTTCAATTTGAAACTTTTTATATATATATATATATATATATATATATATATATATATATATATATATATATATATATATATATATTTTTTATTGATAAGTTTGTGACCCTTGGTTTCACGCTTTTGCGATCGTCAGACAAACTTGTCTGACGATCGCAAAAGCGTGAAACTCGGGGTCACAAACTCACATCTATCCAACCAAATATGTTAGCTCTATCTCTGATACTGAGCGCTTTCTAATAAGTACTCCGCATATAATATATAAATAATAATATATATAATATATATATATACTTATATTT